CAATGAGCCTAGAAACCAGTAAAAAAACAATAAGGAGGGTTCAGGAGGTGGTTTAAGTACAAATGACGGAGTCATTATTAATTGATCTTGACAGATCACGACGACTCGCGTGCTGGTCAACCTCGCTGGCCTGCTGTTACAGGTGAGTACTGTCTCCATCATTTGCTAGCAACAGTAACAACAAATAGCAATAACTCATATTTCCACAGGGACCCTAGGTCTTACAAAGTATGGTCCCAGGACATAGTGGAAAAGCTGTTAATTGAAGTGGAAATGGGGCTAGTTTTGGAATCAGAGGAGCTGAGTTCAAGTCGTGGTTTTGTTCCTTACTACTTGTGTGATATTAGGGAAGACCTCCCTATAAAATTAGGCAGTTTCTAATGTTTCTTCTAGCTCCAAATCTATAAGCCTATGAACTCAGCATCTCTTGGCATGTTTTTCTCAGAGTTGAATGAAGACAGTTATTGCTACTACAGCATTATCTCTCCTCCGAGAGATTTTATCTCTCAAATTTCAGAGTCAAGGGCTCCAGATCAGAAAACCTGCTTCCCCAGCTGGTCTCCCATAGCTAGACTTTGTTGGCTTTCTGGGTATGAAGCAACAGCCGCTTTACCTCCTACTTTATCTCTGTTCTTGCCTTGAGTGAAAGCCAGGTGGGTGGGAGTCATTCTCTGTTCAGGTCTGTTCCCTTTCTCTCTATGCAAGCACCCATTGTTCAAATGCTAGGCTCTCACCAGGCTGAATACACACCCAGAGATCTTTCCTTGCCACGGGCAGTTGTTTTGAAAAACAAAATGGTGAGATTAGGCTCCATTAATTTCTTCCATTCAAATATCAAAGGCTAACCTGAGTCAGAGAGAGTCTAGGAAGAGCCAGTGGGTTTTTCAAGCATTCTAGTATACCAGACAGGTGAAAACCTGCAAATGATCTTGAAAACTTCCAAAGTGGGAGTAAAAGCAACTTGGGCTAGCTGACTTGGATAGCCTTGTAGATTAGGTAGAAGCCCACCTCTAGAGCTAGAAGAGATTTGGGGCCCATATCCGGAGCACAGGGCATAGCACAGTGTAAAATCTATTGAGGGCTCCGGACTCAGAGAAATCAGATAATCTGGGTTCAGGTTCTATCCCTGACACTTAACCTTCAGCAAAGCATTTAAGCCTCCCTGGGTCTTAGTTTTCTAACCTGAAAGATGAGGAGGATTGAACTAGATGGCCCCTGAAAATGCCCTTAGTTCCAAATCTAAGCTACGAGGAACCAAGTAGCTTTCCTTGGTATCTCATCAGAGGACTGTTGTTGAGTTTTCCCATACTGTGAAATAGTTATCCATTACAGGAGAAGGCATCTAAATTGAATGAGTTAAGGAGGCACAAAATTAATGAAGCTTAGATTTGGGTCAATTCTTTGTGATATATCTTAGAAGGTTTTCTCCATTTTACTGACTTTCCTCTTTTTTTTCTTGAAAGCAAATAAGTTTTACTGATGCTTTTTTCCCTTACTTCCAGCACCATCATCTTGGGATATATAACTTCCATCTAAAAACAAGCAAACAATTTTTTTTTAAATCTAGTGCACTTTTTCTTGTAATTAAAAAAAAGTTAAGCAAAACCATCCCATATAAGGACCACATCTGACAATGCATACAACATTTTGCACCCATAATCACCCACCTCTCAAATGAAGCCAGTTTCTGTAGGCTGCTACAAGCAGATTGGCAGCTATTGATATCACAACAAATCAAAGCTGGAAAAGAATTTGAAACCTTTGTAACTTAAATCTCCTGTTTTGCTGTGTGTCTTGTAGCGGAAAAGTTGTGGTATTTCAGAAATCAAGAGAAGGCTCAGTGGGTACTTATCAAATCTCTACTATATACCAGACACAGTGCTAGAATCTAGAGATACAGAGACAAAACAAACACAGTCTCTGCCCTTAAGGAGGGCGTAGTGTACTGGGCAGGTGGGGAGATGTGTTATGTATGCCAATAAGTATTATTTTTTATATTTTATATTATATCATATCATAATACATTATAATATAATATAATATATTATAACGTGTAATATATATTTATATTTTATATTTTGCTGAAGGAGAAAACAATTGTGTGGGGATCAGCACTTAGCACAATGTCTGACACATAGAAGGTGCTTAATAAACGTTTGAGTGATTTGATTGACTGATTGACCAGGGAAGATTTCATGGAGGAGGTACTAACCTGAGCCTTGATGGAAGAAAGTGTGGAGTCGAGGAGATGTATTACAGGCATGGGTGGGGGGGGCCTTCGTGCCTCTATGGAAAGGGGACAGATGGAGAGTTGAAGACAAGGAACAACTGGCCAGTATTTTGGTGGGATTAGTTGTTGTCCTCATGCTCGAAGAGGATGAAAATGACATCACTATTTTTGAGCTATTTTTTATGTTATCATACTTTTGGCTTAGTGTCTCTTCTGAAGAAGGGAAGAAGGACAGGAAACAAGCGTTTATTAAGCACCTACTCTATGCCAGGCACCACACTTTAAAAGCACTTAAAGCATTTTAAAAAATCTCATTTGATCCTCACAATAACCTGGGGAGGTAAATGCTATTATTATCCTCATTTTACAGGTAAGGAAACTGAGGCACACAGAGGTTAAATGACTTTCCTAGGTCACACAGCTAGTATCTGAAGCTGGATTTGAACTCAGGTCTTCCTGATTCAATGCCTAGTGCTCTATGCCCTGTGGCACCCTCTAGCTACTTCAAAATACCAAGGAATAAAGTGGAAAAGTATTTATTAGATTAGGACAGGAAAACATTTACTATGTGCCAAGCACTGTTCTAAGGCCCAGGGACATAAACAGAAAATCAAGACAGTAACTGTTCTTAAGAAGCTCATTGGAGGAGACACCATATAAAAGAGGGACTCATGCTTATGTTCAATTCACTGCATTTGGAAGGGCCAGGGTGATACTTAGACAGGGATGGCTGCAGAAAAGATGACAAGACTCGGAGGCCCTAGCAGAACAGTGGCACTGTCATCAATCACCATCATCGTGGCTAATATTTACATAACATAAATCTTTAAAATCTGCAAAGCATTTCACATATTTACTCACTTTGTCTTCACCACATCCCTGAGAGACAGGTGCTATTATTATCCCCATTTTGCAGATAAGGAAACTGAGGCTGAAAGAGGCTAAGTTTCTTAGGCAGGACTTGAATTGACATCTTCCTGACTCCAAGTCTACCCCTGTATCCATTACCTATCCATTAGAAATAATGGTAGTAGGAAGGATGAGCACCAAATTGGACTTTGAAGGACCTGGGTTCAAAAACTAGTTCTGTTCCTTGTTTCCTATAAGATCTTGGGCAAGTGGTATCTCTAGAATCCTTGGTTTCCTCATCTGTAAAATGGGTTAGTTAAATTAACGGGCCTCTAAGGTCAGCTAGCTGACATTTTAGGACTATACGTCTGAGCGTTGAATAGACTGAAATAGAAAGGTTGGAGTTGGGGTTGAGTGGGGGGACAGGACAGTAATTGGAGGAAGCACTGTTAGCCAGAACTGAGTTCCCCAGAGCATCCTGGATGCAATTGAGAGTTTTCATGTTTTGTTAGGAAGAGGGAGTGCTATCTCAAAAAGGCCAGTGTTAGTCAAACTGAGAGCAAAGCTAAGAGTTAGGCTTGGGGGCAGAAGGGGATGTTACATTAGATGGTGTAGCCCGAATCTATCGATATTTTTACTTTGATCTCTCTAAAATAGTGAAAGTTTAGCTCTTTCCTGAATGGCTGGGGATCAGCTCATGGTGAAGGAAGCATTCCCTGATGACTATTTTTATGGGCGCCAAGGTAAAATGCCTTGTTTTCTTTTCTAGCATATTCAACACCAGTCCCTGATGGAAACCAAGGTCAATCTGAACAAAATCCCAACCTTAAAAGGAAGCCCAAAATTCCAGGTATGTTTCAATTTAAAAGAAAAAAATCATCTTATAGAGAACCTCACAAAACCTCTTTGTCCTGATGAATCACAGAAGGAACAGCCGAAAAGGATTGTACCAGACTGGTCACCAAGGCTTGTTCTTACCGACTTTCAAATCCATGGGAGAGGGAAGCAAAGTACAGCTGGATAGCCCAATTCCTCCCCCTGAAGCTGTGGATAATGTAAGCCACTCGGTCTCCTGGGTACCAGGTACAGAGGGATGAAAGCACTCCTTCCCTTCTCCATTGAGCCTAGATTGACTTTTGAGTAGATTTAATCCCCGAAAGTCCCAGAAAAATCATTCTAGCGCCATCATCACTGCAGCTGTGATTCTGTGTATAAGCCAGCCAGCAAGAGACTGTATGAGACATTGATGGGACCAGTTCTGGACAAATTAATTCGCCCATGCCTTGAATTCCAACAAATGTATTTGTTCTGGCAACATTACAGTAAACTGGGTCCAGGCGCACTGAATGGTGGGAAATTAAAAGATTGTTTTTGGAACCATTCAGAGAATGAGTTTTATTCATTTCTACCTAACACCCCAAGGTTTTCCCATATTCAGAAAGAATAGATCTTTTTGGGGAATGATGCATTTGCAGTGGTTAGCCACGTGGTTGTCAGGTTTAGAGTATTGAATTAGAGGCGTTATGGCAGCATACACAGAAAGCTGGCTATGGATTGGGAGGACCTGGACCCAAGCTTGGTCTCTGCCACCCCCTAGCTATGTGACCCTGTGAATAAATCACTTAACCTCTCAGAGCCATAGGCTACTTTCTAAGACCATAAGGAGCAGACAAATTGTTGGTCTGCATTGCTGAAGGGCGCTTTCCATGCTGCAACTTTCTTACAACAATCAAATGATAGGTTGGGAATTAATTGCAAAATTTTTAATGGGTTCAGGATCGAATGAGAGCTTTTATCATTAGGGTTTAATTGAATTTAAGATTTACCTTGAATTGTAATTTGATCTATTTCAATCCATATTCACTGCAGGGGTCACAAGACCATGTCTCTTTAGGACAAGAGGTTTTAAGGATTTTTGTGTGACATAAATCCTTTTCACAGTAGGAAAAAACCCACAGACTTCTTCTCAGAAGAATATTGACTGTTTTGTTTTGTTTTTTTCACTCACATTTGAAAGACATATTAAATTTTAATTAGCGCTTAGTAAGTACTAAGTATTTTTTTCTTGTCCAAGTTCATGGACCTCTTGAAATATATCCATGGACCCCTTGAGGAGGGCCATGTAGCTTGGGTTAAGAACTCTTGCTTTAGTAGGAAGGAACGAAGGAAGCAATTGAAACTCCTTCCAGTGGTCTGTTTGCCTAAACTCTGCCAGAAGCCAGAGCCCTTCAAGGATTTACGGGTGGTAAACATATATGTTGTTTAGAGAAATAATTTACAATGACTTGGGCATTCAGTGAGTCACGTACAAATCAGTACTTGAGATAGGGAAAAAAGAGACAAAGATTAATCCTACCCCTCCCCCCCATTTTTTCTAATCTCCTTTACTATCTCCCATAGGTTTCCTTGACCCTCTTCTCCTCTATCCTCAAAAGATATATTTAAGGGGAAAAAAAAACAAGAGCATAAATCTTTCATAATTATTTTCACTCAGTATTGGGATTAAGCTGAAGTCTCCCAATTGATCAATCAGTTAGTAAGCATTTACTAAGCACCTACCATGTGCCAGGCATTCTGCTAGGCACTGAGACTATTAATCTAAATTATGAGACAGTCTCTGCTCTCAAGGAATTTACCTTCTAATGAGGAAAGAGCAATGACTCAAGATTTGGAGCACCTGAGTTCATATCCCACCTCTAACATACATATTATTTTTTCTTTAATTAATAAGCATTGGGTCAGCTAGGTGGCACTGGCCCTGGAATCAGGAGGACCAGAATTCAAATCCAACCTCATATACTTACTGTGTGACCCTGGGCAAATCACTTGACCCCGATTGCCTCAAAAAAAACCCCAAAACTTTTAATAAGCATTTATTTCCTCTCTCTCCCTCCCCAATTTTTTTTTCTTTTCTAGGAAAGAAATATGTGTAGTAAGGCAAAAAAGACTCCTACATTGGCCATGTCCAAAAATATGTATCTCATTTTGTATATCTCATCACCTCTCTGGAAGTCAGTGACCTTGAGCAAGTCATTTTCTCTTAACTGTTAAGTCAGGGGTTGGACTAAGTGACCTCCTAGATTCCTTCTACTATAGATCTATGATCGATTCAGATCTATAAATCTATAAGACCTGGAAAAACTCCCAGCCAATGGAACAATTAAATGGATGGTCTGTCAGCTCAGTTTAATCCAGCAGACAAGCCAAGCCTTTGTATAGTTTGTCTTCAGATAAGAGAATAGATACAAAGAGCTTCTTTGAAATACTAGGTCCCAACCTCCGGCATCATCTGTCTCTCTTAACACCTGTCCTGTGATAGAAGGTCTCATTAGACTCAATGAGGTGAGGTTCATTTCATGCCCATCCTAACTCACACGTGTGTTTTGGCTCATCTCACCAGAATGGCTGATTATCCTCTCAGCTCTCTTGGCACTGGCTCTGATCCTGGCTGTCTGCATTGCTGTCAACAGTAGGAGAAGGTAAGACACTTGGACATTTTCACTCTGTTCTTGGAGTGGGGAATCGTTCAATATCTATCATAGGCTACTACTGCCTTTAAAGAAAGGAAGAATTTTGAACTCTCTGCTTACTTGTTAGAAATTCTTAAGGGGTGCTTAAGTGGGCAAGAGGGGTATTATTTTTAAATTAAATGACTTCAGATGTGGTTGGAATTATTGAAGTCAGAGAGAAGGGAGAACTTTCCTATGGTGTAAGACTGTGAAATGATCACAAATAGCTGAGTCTCTTTTCCTAGAGAATTTTGGAGAAAGAATAGACAAACATCTGTATAGAGCAGTTAAAATTGTTCTCAGTGGCCAAGATAGTCTAGGCTAGATGGTCTACTTGTAACAATAATAGCAATAATAATAACAATACAAAAACTAGCATTTATATATCACTTTAAGATTTGCAAAGTTTCTTACAAGTACTATCCTCATTTTATCCTGGGAGTTAGATGCTATTATTATCTCTATTTAACATATGAGGAAACTGAGGCGGACAGCAGGTAAATGACTTGCCCAGGGTCACACAGCTAGTAAATATCTGGGGCTGGTTTTCTGGTCTTCCTGACTCCATGCCCATTGCCCTATCCACTTTGCTACCTCTAATATGTATGTAATCCAGGGCAAGTCACTTTAACCCCTTGGGCCTCAGTTTCCTCATCTGTCAAATGAGGAGATTAGACTAGATGAACTTTAAAAGTGCCTTTAAGCTCCAAGTCCGTGAACCTATGAAAGGAGCTACATCCCTTATGTTCAGCCTTTAGAATGTGAAAGAAAAAAAAAAGCTGGGGAAAGGGGTGGAAAAAGTGCCAGATTAAAATCGAGTGAGGCTTGGGTTGTAGCTGTGTGACCTTGGAGAAGTCATGAAGCCTCTCTGTAGCTCTGTTTCTTCATCTACAAAATAAGGATACTATTGCTTTTAGTACTTACTTGTGGGGGTTGTGGTGAGGGAACTATTTTGTAAACATTTTTGATTAGCCAATTGACCAATCAACTAATCCATAAATAATTAATAATTGCCTACTACTATGAGGCCGTTAGGTGGATCAGTGGAGTCAGGAAGACTTCAAATCTGTCCTCAGATATTCACTAGCTGTGTAACCCTGGACAAGTCATTTAACCACTGCCTGCCTCAGTTTACTCACTGGAAAAATGGGGAGAATAATAGCACCTACCTTCTAGGGTTGTTGTAAGAATCAAAGTAGAAAATATTTGTAAAGCACTTTGCAAACCTTAAAACGCTAAATTAGATCGCTTACACTGCTGCCTATTATTATTTGTCAGAAATTGTGTCAGGGAATCCCATGACTACAACAAATATGAGATAAGCCCTGTCCTCAGAGAGCTTTCAGTTAGAAGAAAGCAAAACTGATTTAAACATACACATACACAACCCCAAAAAACCCACTCCTGGAGAGATATGAATAAATGGAGACGGAGTGTTTTAACTGATAATTTCCCTTGAAGAATATCTTGCATGAAGTAACTGTCTTTTTTTTTTGCCTCAGATTAGTTTTAAAAAGTAAAATATAGATTTCTCATTGTTTGAACCCCAGATGGTTGGCCAGTCCTCAGGGTATGGGGTCTCCAATCCTGATCAGGTTTCAGTAAGTCCTTCTTGGCTGATATTAGTGCAGGAATGTCACAGCTGAAGTTCCGAGTACACGGTTAGGTTCACCAGTGACATCCATCCCAGGGGTTCGTTAGAACAGCTGGAGTCTGCACATTATGCCTGGATAACTCAGGACCTAGTTTCTATTGTGCCTATTTAAAAAAAAAAAGACCACCCATTTCTTTCTTTCCCTGTCTTCCAAATGAAGTCATTTGCCATAGCAACCAACAAACAGAGATAGGCTGGATACTGGGCAGCTTGCTGGGAATGAGGCCGCCTGGGTGCTGCAAATTAACACGTACTTAATAATTGAGAACAGATTTGCAATTGTAACTGAGGGGTGGTTAACTGAGTAGGCTGTGTAAGTCTATAGGTACACATCTCCATTCTAAAGCCACCAGCCCATTGCTACTTTTTTTTTAAAGGCTTCTCTCTCTCTTTCCCTCTCCTTCTCTCTCTCTTTATCTCTTTCTTCCTCTCTGTCTCTCCCTCTACACCCTCCACAGACACACATTTGCTTTACAAAGAGATCCAAGATCCCCAAGCTAGATTTCACCTGGGAAGTCTGAGATGGGAGGGAAGCATCATGTGGACAGCCCCATCCAGAGGCAATTTTCCATCCATTGCTACTGGCTGAGGTCTTCCTGTTCTGGTCAACACTTAAGAGTCATTCTCATTATGGCTCACTGGTTGAGGATTCACTTTGAGCTTTAATAGAACTTGGCATCATTCTCCTTGTATCTGAGATGAATTTCATAGGTTCTTGGTCCTAGAGTCAGAAGAAATCTCAAGAGACTGGCTAGTCCAAAGTCATCCATTGTACCAGTCAGTCAACAAACATGTATTAAGCTAAGTGCTGATGTTTTTTTACCCTCCTCTCTGAATGCCAGTAGAATACAGAACCCTGTGATACCCTGATTCCTAGAAGCCAAAGGGACCTTAGCAGTCATTTAGTACAGTTTCTTATTCTATAATGGAATTAATTCCACTCAAAAATCATTTAGTGAGTGTAAGGCATCATGCTAAGCACTGGAGATCCAAAGACAAAAATAAAACAGTCCTTGCCCTCAAGGGGCTTACATTCTACTCGAAAGATATAATATACACAGATAAGTATAATTGGAGAGATTCAGAGTCAGATGGAGAAGACAGATACATAATGCCATCTACCTCATACGCATGGGGCAATGTTATTCTTTTTCATGAGAAAGAGGAAGCATTGCATCATGGTAGTTAGGGAAGTGAGGAAACAAGATATGTGCTATAGGGGGACAAGGTTCAGGTCATTTCCTTTACACAGGGCAGTTGTAAACATCAGATGAAGTAACATGTGAAAGCATTTTGCAAAAGTTGCTGTGGCACAGTAGAATACATGCTCAGCTGAAGAATCACAAGATCTAGGTTCAAATTCTGGCTCTGCCATTTATCACCTTAGGCAAGCCACTCAGCAAGACCCACTTTCTGGGTCTTAATTTCTAATCTGCAAAATGATGATGTTGGATTGTTGTTCAGTCATTTCAGTTTTGTGTCTGACTCTTCCTGACCCCATTTGGGGTTTTCTTGGCAGAGATACTGGAGTGGTTTGCCATTTCCTTCTTCAGCTTTTTTTACAGATGAGGAAACTGAGGCAAACAGGGTTAAATGACTTGCCTCAGAAAATTACAAAGTGTCTGAGGCTGGATCTGAACTCAGGAAGATAAGACTTTTTGACTCCAGGTCTGGCACTCCATCCACTGTGCCACCCAGCTGCCCTTACCTCTAACATCCCTTCCAGTTCCTGATCTATGTTATCAAGGTTCAGTGTTTGGTATTTGTGGTAAAATTCTTCAATCTAGACTAACTGGTCAAAAGGGAAATCTGACTGAGTGAAAACAACAGCAACTTGTATTATTGACTTTTGTTTGAAAAAAAAATGTAGTTTTATTGCTTCGATACACAGACAGTAACTGAGATTGGATTAGAAGTTTGGGAAATGGTTGAACAAGTGGCCCTCCTTCCTTGGCTGCCAGCCCAAATCCCTCTCTTCAGTTCCACTGACCTCCTCTTGTGTTAATTTTCTCCTGAACAGGTGTGGGCAAAAGAAGAAGCTGGTGATTAACAATGGTAATGGAGCAGTGGATGACAAGAAGACCCCTGGGCTGAATGGCGATGCCAGCAAGTCTCAGGAGATGGTGCATCTGGTGAACAAAGAGCCATTTGATAATCAGATGGGGCAAGATGAGTGTATGACAGCTGATGAAACCCGGAACCTGCAGAATGTCGATATGAAGATTGGAGTATAAGACCAGCCAGGCCTGCTTGTCAAAAGAGAGTTGGGGACATCACCGTTCCATGGAACTGGGACTAACTCAGATGCAATGTGCTACTGATAGTCATGTTGGCTTTTTTTTTAATCAAATTTTTTTTTCTCATCCTTTGGGTTTTGTGTTGTTATTAGTTTGGTTTTTTTTTTAGTTAACACCAAGTTACCAAAATCAAACACTGTTGGGTACAAATTTGATAATACCAGTTCCTGCCTGGAGGACTCCCACCAGCTGTGGTTTGTGATGGGTGGCTGCTAGGTTAAACGAAGACATGTTAAACGAATACACGTTTTGTCTTCTGTCCTTCTATCCCTTTCCATCCCCTCTCACATTCTCCAGTCTCTCCCACCCTCTTTCTACCTTCAGAATCTTCACAAATAACAGTCCCTATGCCCAAAGAAGGTTTAAGGGGAAGTGGGATGGGTGATTAGAAGGAAATGTCAAAGTAAAACCGGGCAGGATCTCATTAGGCAGGGATGGTAACACTGTCCCCAACATTCTAGTTGATTCAGGTTTTCAAAGGTGTGCTGGTTACCCACCCATTTGAAGCCTGCCCCTCTGGAAAGTTGTTAAGGCTCATGGGCCCTGCCTGGAGGGTCAAGCTATTTATCTCTAGTAAACTATTTAACTCTGTTTTGGCAAGCCCAGCCCTGGAGGTCTATTGATCAGGGTGCCTTTGTCAGAGAATAGAAAAAAGGCTTTAAAGGTATGTATTTCTGTCCCCAGAACCATTGATGCCGCTCTCCTTTAGTAGCTAAGCTCTCCCTGTGGGTAGAGACCAGAAGGCCACCCAAAGCCATCCCTGGCATCTTTTTAGAAGTAGTACTCATAAGCTCAGACAGACTCAAGACAAATCTCACAAGAGATCAGAGAAGATATCAGTATTGTCTCTCCAAGGTCTAAGAAGTCCCTCTCTCCTAGAACTGTAATTTTAAGAGGCTTGGTACTTATTAGTGTTCTAATTCCCACCTGTTCTATTGCCCTGCAGGTAACTTTAAACTCATATTAAATATGTATGACATACCACTTGCTGAGGTAGGAGGCAAGGGGTTGCCAGTTCCTCTGATGTTCTTTTGAACCCTGGCCCAGCTAGTTGATGTCTATAAAAATCAACCCATGCCCCTTCACCCTCAGAACACAGTGGAGAAAGCAACAAGTGAATGAAAAGGAAAGAGGATGTAAATAGTTACTATCCAACTTAGAGATTGGAACAGAATTTTTTTATTTTTATTTTTTGCTTTTTTGGGGGGTGGGTGGAGAAGCAAAAGGGCTCCTGTGCAAGTGCTTTTTATTAGTATATTTATTTTTATTTTAACAGGCTAGTGGAATCCATTTCGCCCAGGGTAGGTCATGGTTGTGGGTCAAGTTTAGATTGTAAACAGAGCCAGAACGGACCTTGAAAGACATCTTGTCTAACCTTCCTTGTCCTATTATACAGATGAGAAGGAAAATAGGCTTGCTTAGGTCAGTTACCTAAGGGCTCCCAGAAAGAGTTATTGGACTTTTTCTCCTTCTTGGTCCTGGGAAGATTCTCATTCCATGTATGGTACGCACTTAGCTCCCTAAATCAATCGTATTTCCCTTTTCCTCTTCCACGGCACCGAGCAAGTGAAGTAGGCTTTCCAAACTTCTCAAGCCCACTTAAAATGAGTCACCAAATCCATAAAGTGGGTCTGTAAAAGCAGATCCTCTTTCTGGGTCATGGTGCCAATGGGAGCCATATGCCAGGGAGAAAATTGGTTCCTGCTCTACTTGCCAGACAATGCTTTTGAGACAAAAACTTTCAGCACAAATGTCATTTAAAGCCTTGTTCGCAAAAAAAATTCTACTCTAAATGAGTCTTATTTAGCAGATAAATAAAGGATAAGATGGCCTTTTATCAGTCTTATACTAGTGCCTTGGGGAAGCATTCAGTCCTTTTTTTCCTTCTGTCTCCATCCTGGGCCAGTTACAGACCCAACTCTGGGACTTTTTCTTTTAAGTTTCTAACCAATGAAACAACATCTCATGACAAGGATGCCCTTTATTTCTCTCCTGTGATCATACCCAGAAGCATCTATGGATGACAGGTTTAGAACTCTTGATGTAGCCCAATTGCCTCATTTTATTGATGGGAAATGTAAATTCCCACCAGGATTTCTTTTTTTTTTTTTTTGCCTTTGTGTGCTCAGCTTCTATTACCATTCCTGGAACATAGTAGATACTTAATAAATGCTTGCTGAGTTAAGACTTAGAGAAGAGTGTGATTTGGTCAAGGTCAATTGCAATCTAGTAAGCCTAGGAGCCAGGTTTCAAACATGGACTCAAGTCCATTCCTTTTCCCACTATGCCATATACTGCTCTTGGCCTATCAACGATCCAGTTCCCTGAAGCCCATCTACTCAGGGCATTTCTTATCTTTACTTTTTAAAAATCATGGCAGGACTATGATGTATTTCTTGAAGCACTGATGATTTCATGCACATCTTGCCTCAAACTTGCTGGACAACCTTAAATCACTTAGTATCTCTTAGACTCTTGGCAAAATAGAGTTTCTAGTGCTGAATTCCTTGCAAAGCAACCTGAGACCTTATGTAATAATCCATCCCACCACTGTCAAGTTCTTTCTTTTAAGGGCTGCCCTGAAATTTAGCATCATATAATAAATTAAATGGAACAAAAGATCACTTTATATCTACACCTTGATGTGTTGTAGCCTGGAAAAACAGACCTCTCTGGTGGGGCTCCCCCTTTGCAGGAAACTGTATGGCACATAGTAGGTGCTTAATAAACAAATGTTGACCAATTAATTGATAGAGAATTATTTTGCCAAGATTTTGGCTATAGATCAGGTCAGGCCAACAGAGTAAGGTGACTCCCAGTTTATCTTGAGAAAATAATACACTTTTGACAAGCAATAATATGGCCTGTTGGGCAGCGGGGTGATGCAGTGAGCACAGGGCCTGGAATCAAAAAGATCTGAATTAAAATTTGGCCTTAGATACCTCCTAGCTGTGTGACCCTGGGCAAGTCACTTCACCCTGTTTGCCTCAGTTTCCTCATCTGTAAAATGAGCTGAAGAAAGGAATGGCAGACCACTCCAGTATCTTTTCTGAGAAAACCCCAAATGGGGTCGTGAAGATTCATACACAACTGAAACAACTGAACAACAAACAAAAAAAATGACCTGTTAGGCACCATGTTGTGGGTACTATTTAGTGTGACAGATATGTGATGTTTTCTTTAAAAAAAAGTATATTGTTCATTCATCTGTGCATGACAATTGGTTGCCCTCATGTTTTTTTTTTATAGTATATCTATCTTTCCCAAGATACTTGTTTATTTATTGAGAAATTGCTTCTAAAGAGAAAAAGCATGATCTGTATACTGCCCTCATGGAAACAACTTATTGAAAACATTAAATGGGTAATGGAATCCACAAGGAGAAAATTGTGCTCTGGTCTTTAATTGAAGGGGGAGCTTTTCTGACTGATTGACGAAGCTGGTAGAGGGGAAAATAACCTGGGGCTCATCTATCTGGGACATTGTAAGGATGGGTTCCAAAATTCTAAGATAAAAGATTTTTGATATACAGCAAGACCGAGACATCTGCCATGTTTGTGCCCTCAAACAGGATTTGTTCTCATTAACTGAAAGGATGAACTGGGATTTCCAAAGAGATGGTGGTGAAGAGCATAGGATATATTACTCAATCTATATGACAACAATTAGAAGGTCAAGTAATAACCTTCTGCCATTTTTGTCATGGTTTTTCCTAAATAGATACGGGATGAATAAAAACATTATGGATGAGGAAATCATGGGTGGCTGTATTCCCCTTATGGATGTCAATCCATCTGTTTTTTCTCATCTGACACCCTTATTGTCCATATTCTTCTAGGATCTCTACACAGAGGATACATCCAGCATGCTGGGTACCTTTCTGTGGCTATCTGTCACCCCTAAAAGATCACAGATTTCCAGGATTTTATAGTTTAAAGGACTTTAGGTTCATCCAGTCCAGCTGGTGTCCAAAAGGATGTATCTGGTGTATTTGGCCATTTCTTGAATACCTGCAAAAAGAGGCATCTGATACTTCTTGAGGCAGCGCATTCCATTTTGGAAAGCTCTAATTATTAAAAAAAAATTGTCAATGATTTGTCAATGATGTCAATGGTAACAAAAAATTACTTGGGAAGGGGATGCCACACCCACCTGTTGTTTCTGGTTCTGCCCTCAGGGAACAAGGGGAATGTCTTGACTTATTTATTTCTTTGTCTTATTTTTTGCACCAGAGCTGCATAGAAAACTCCCAGCGAGGAAACTCTCTCTACTCACGTGGACTGACACTTGGTTAGCAAATCGTAGTTCTAGAAAGTTGCTAGTCAAGTTCAGAAGATGATGAAATCTTAAATTTCAATCTGGAGAGGACCTTAGAGATCATTTTGTCCAAGCCCCTCATCTTACACACAAGCAAACAGAAACTGGGAGAATTTCAATGACTCATCCCATAGTTGCAGAACAAAGATGGAAAGACAAATTTTCTATTATACCATTGTAATGCTGAGTCACTATTAGGCTTGTGTCTAGGAAGCAATTTTTTTTTAATAGCCCAGTAATGTTCATCTTAGAAGGGTAGTAAGAAATGGTTTATGATAAAGCCCCCAATTAGAAAGCAAAAATGCTCAAATGATGAGCTGGGGAGGGGTGGGGAGCTTGAGACCCTAGCCCTGCTCTAGGAAAGATCCTCTTTTTCATTTGGCTCCTGGAGCTGTCTCTCAAGTTTGTTCCTTAAACAAAGGGATATCAGACAAGGTAAAGAAAAAGTCAATCACAGGTGCTTATGAGAAATAAGCTTAGATGTGTCAAATACAATATTTGATAGATTAAAAAAATTAGAAATTGAATTAAGCAAGGGATAGGGTAAGGACCATTATTTCCTCATAACTGTTTTTTGTCTTACTGTTACAGTTATTGAAACAAGAGCCATGATAGAAAAAAAAATCATCAGCTTGTCCATTGTGGTCACCTTCCTGTAGAGGTTTTATTTTGAAGAAGAGGACTACAACTGTTGCTGCCACTGGTCAACACTGTGGTGGTGTTGCTCTATGAGTCTGGTGGTGGTGGGGAGCTGCTACTTACTTTTCCCCCTCTCAAGAGAACCTGAAAATTCCCACTATACTGGGAGAACCTCTGTTCTCCAGCCCTGGCTTTGAATTAGCTTCCTTCCCAAGCTGGGAAGAAATACTGCTCCCAGGTATGTTTTGGTTATATCGGTAATCCTTCTTTCATAGGATGGCCCTTCAAATACTTCAAAATCATATTTCATAAGCCTCTTCCTCACTAGGTTAGCTATTCATAGTTCCTTTGACTAATCATTGAATTAATATTTTACACAAAATTCATATATTGAATAAGGATTGTACCAGATGACCTCTCAGGTTTCCACTTACTGCAATGGTCACATAAGCCATGGCTATCAAAAATCAGAAAGGCAAGGGGCCAGTTGTTGGATAATTTTATCCAATTAACAAATGATACAAAGTAGAACATAGTAGAAAAGAGAGAATGGACTTTTTTTTTCAAGTTAGGGTGTTAACTTAGGATGGCACCGATTATTGCATAATATGAGCTCTTTCAATTAATGAATGAAAAATAATTTATTAAGTGATTATGGGATGATTGCTGGGAATACAAACAGAAAAGCAAGACAGGGAGCCAGGATGGTGGAATAGGAGGAAGAAGTACAGTGAACTTCCTTCAACAAATCTCCAAACATTTACAAAATACATCAAAGAGGTTGATTAAGGTGGAAATTCAAGGGAAAAAAGTGATAATAAGCCATTTTTCCAGCCCCGGTTCACATAAAGAGACAGATAAAGAGGTCTGTGGACACTGTGGATGAGATCCAGTCAGGAGCCCAATGCACAGAGAATTTCAGCACCCAAAGACTGAAAGAGAACCGAGATAGTGTCCAAGAGCAAGAAGAGGTCCCCCGCACATCCTGGAGCCACTCCAACCTTGTTCAGGGTGCTGGAACAGGAAGCTTTGTTATTCCCTACCCAGTTCTGGGTCACAAATTCCAGGCAGACTAAGGAGAGGGCCTATACACAGTGGCAGTGTTCCAGGCTAAGCAGTGGTGACTGACCCTAGGCTGTATCATATACTGAACTTGCAGCCCACTCTGCAGCCTTCAGAGGAATAATAAGGCCAGGAATTCCAGATGAAAAGGAAACCTATGATGTTGTCCCTCTTAATCCGCAGAGATTTCCAACTAGCTGAGTCTAGCAACAGGTTCCTGAAATGCCAAAGGAGGCAAACCATAGGTCCACAGCTCACACCAAACCTGATCCCCAACTTGAGATGTTGTAGAGATCCTGGAATAACACAACATTCAATATCCCAGAGAAACCAACAGCAGAACTAACCCAGACTTATGCCATCCAGAATGTCTGGGCTGTGAGTGAAGTCCAAAGTCAGAGAGAAGACTGGAAGAAGGAGGAAACAAAAAAGAATCATGCCATTGAAAAAAAAAAGCTGTTATAGAGATAGGGATGCTCAAGACAATCACCCAGAAGGATAGAACTACTCCAAAACATTTACAAGCAAAGCCTCAAAGAAAAACATAGCTTGGATACAAATTCAATTATAATTCCTGGAAAAGACAGAGTTTTTTTTAAGCATTTAAATTTTTTTTTTAATAAATGAAATGAGAGCGCTAAAGGAAAAAAAAAGAAATGAAAGTTATAGAATAAAGATTTTTTGCCTTTTTTTAAAATTTAGGATTTTATTTTATTTCCCTCCAGTTACATGTAGAAACAATGTTTAACATTTGTTTTTTAAAACTTTGAGTTCCAAATTCTTTCACTTCTTCCCTCCCTCCCTCTTCCTGCCCCCTCCCCATTGAGAAGACAAGCAATTTGATATAGGTTATACATGTGTAGTCATGCAAAACATTTCCATGATAGTCATGTTGTGAAAGAAAACAGAGACAAAAAAACTCAAGAAAAATAAAGCAAAAAAAAAGTATGTTTCAATCTGTATTCAGATACCATCAGTTCTCTCTCTGGGGATGAATAGCATTTTTCATCCTAAGTCTTTCAGAATTGTCTTGGATCATTGTATTGCTGAGAATAGCTAAGTCATTCACAACTGATCATCTTACAATATTGCTGTTACTTTGTACACAGTACAGTTAGTTTGGCACAAGCAACTAACTCCCTGGAAATAAGAATGGACCAAATAGAAGCCAATGACTCCATGAGACAATAAGAAATACTGAAACAATGTCAAAAGACTAAAAAACATGAAGAAGATTTAAGACATCTTATAGCAAAATAACTTACTTGGAAAACAGATCAAGGAGAGAAAATTTAAGGACTATTAGACTATCCAAAAACCATCACCAAAAAAGAGCCTAAATATTATATTTCAAGAAATCATAAAAGAAAAGAGCATAGATCTCTTAGAATAAGAGGGCAAAATAAAAGGTGAAAAAGTTAAAAAAAAACCTCACCAGTTAATTCTGAAAGAAACCCTAGGGAAGAAAGAAAGGAAAAAAGAAAGGGAAGAGAAGAGAAGGAAAAGAGAGGAAAGGGAAGGGAAGGGAAGGGAGGGAAGGGAAGGAGGAAGGGAGAAAGGAAAGAAGGAAGGAAGGAGAGTATTTATTAAGTGTCTACTATGTTCCAGGCTCTGTGCAAAATGTTCTAGCATTATTATCTCATTTAATCCTCACAACAAGCCTTGGAGGTAGGTGCTATTATTATCCCCATTTTACAGATGAGGAAACTGAGGCTGATAGCGATTAAGTGACTTTCCCAGGGTCACACAGCTAGTAAATGTCTGAGGCTGGATTTGAACTCAGGTTTTCCTGATTCCAGACCCTGAGCTCTATCCACTGCTCCCCCTACCTGCCTCTAGAGAGCTTCCTATGGCATTGCTCTGTTGGATCCTTTATCCTCCCTGGTAAATGGGCATTGAGAATTGTTTCAGGAGAGGAGAAAGACTCCTTCCAGTGCCTGTTCTGCTGGTACCTCAAGTACCACAAGAACTTGCATCCCCGTTGCCTGGAACACAGTGGGCTTATTGAATGTTTTGAAGAGGTAGTCAACCCTAGTCAATAAATCACCACCCTGATACTTGGTAGTATACTGAAATACTGAAAAGCAGACCCATTCCTCCTCCTCCCCAAATCCCCCAATCCAATCACCCTCTAAATTTGACATAGTACCAATGATGACCCAGAAGCTGGGAAATATGAGAGAGAAAATTCTGCTGTGGGATGAAACCTCCAAACCAGGTCAATATGAATTTAATTATTAAATCACCCTGAGTCTCTGCACTTGAATGTATGAGGCCATGGGAAAGAACCCATACATTAGAAACCAGCTTTTCAGAATGAGAAAGTGAAAGTAAAAACAAACCATAAAACTACCACCAAGAACTCTCGAGTGGAATTTCTTCTGGCCCTGAGCAATTCAATTGGGAGACAGAGATCAAGGGAAGAGAAAGTAAATCAGAAGTGGTTTCTCCCTATCTGAGAGAGAAATTCCAGATATTTCAAGAGGCCAGTGCCTTTCTGGTTATGGGGACTTGAGGTTTTCCGCTGGAGACTTTTAAAATTTCTATTTTTTTTTCAACATCTGACAACCAACCAACAAACAGAACAATGCCTTCCTGCTCTTTCTTGCTGTCATATAGCCTAGCTTGAAATAGCCTCTGAAATGCCCTCCAGCTCCAAGATTCTTCTATGATTCTGTTGGCTTCATTACTGAGATTCTTCATTAATGGGTAACCCCACCCAGGGATGCCAAGGTAAGAACTCTGAGTCCTCAAATAGGTAAATAGTCCGTTGAATCTGAGATTGAATCAAGTTGCTCATTTCCTCCAAACAAAGATTGCGACCCATTCCCTCCTGCACACCCTGCACGACTCATGCCTGTCTTCCCATGTGTTTACCAATGGAAGTCTAGCCAGTGGACTGCAGCCATCCTCAAGTTCTCCTGGCATCCTGCAGGTACCAGGGGGACCCTTTGTTGTGCATTAGTCATTATTTGCCCTTCCCACATGACTTGTCTTTTCTTCCTATCACATGCTTCCTTGATGACATATTTCCTTTTTCTTTTGTATGGCCCATATATTTTAATTACATTTAAATTTATTCTCAAATTTATTTTAGTCTGAATTAAAATACTAAAAGAAAAAAACATACAGGACACACAGAGAGGATAGCACATGAATCTCAATTTCATACTACTTACTTTCAAATATGTTTAAAATAATAAAATTTGATTATGAATTATGATAGGTGATAATACAATAAATATGTGATAATGAAATAGTAAAAAAGAATATATATTATAATCAATAAAATAAATTTATAATACATGTGTATATATGGGCATAATTGTACATAGAAATATAAATTAGACCTTTTATTTTCAGAACTGTCCTACTTATCTATGCCTCCTTCTGAATTTCCTTCTGTTCCTTTTTGTGCATAAAAAAGTTTCTTTTCTTTTTGTATCACTATTGCTAACTCATCCTGTTCCCTGAAACCCCTCCCTCAATTAAAAACCAAGGTAAAGAAAAAATAATCCTTTATAACAAATACGTAGAGTCAAACAAAACAACTCCATACAAGAGCCACGCCTGAAAATATGTATCACTTTCTGAACCTTGAGTCTACCACTTCTCTGTCAAGAGGTGGGTAACATGCTTCATTACAGGGTCCTCATGAGACATGGCTGGTCATCATTTCGATCAGAACTCTTGAGTCTTTCAAAGTTGTTTGTCTCTACGTTGTTGTTGGCCTTGTGTACCAAGGCCCTGAAGCCTGCACAGGAGGCATCAGTGTGCTCAGCTGATGCCACTTTCTTACATAAGTGTCTAGGGACCCTGCCTTTGGGAGAGTCATGATGGCATAGAATGGAATTTCCTTGGAAAGACTATAGAGGATGAATAAACATTCTGTATCTGGGTCCAATCTGCTGGCCACATGGTGAGGAGGAATCTTCTAAAATTTGCTGCTTAGCTGGGCCTGAGGGCTTCTTCATGAAACCTGAGTTAGCCTCTTTGGCCATCTTCCTGATCCTCTGGTGGTATGACTCCCGTGCCCACAGCACAGTGTCTGGTGAGACAAAGCTATAAGAACATTCATGGAACCTTTTTTCCCTTTGATGCCTTTTGAAAGACATTGACCCTTCACCTCTGCATTTGTACCTTTCTGTTTTAGGTGAAGGACATTAACCCAGAGACCAGGAGAGGAGGCCACAGAAATCTGAAAGTTGAGTCCAGGTCGGGTTTTGCTGCCAATCATGAATGCCCTGAAGGGCAGAGGGTGGCCTTTAGGAGAGGCCATGAGGACTTAGTCCAGAGAAGCTGAGTAGAAGATTTATCCTGCAGTCAGGCCACAGCATCTGGTCATGAACTCCAAGGGGCCAATATCCTGTGGGAACTGTGCTAAGAGTGAGTCTACTTTCCTTAGAGACTGAGATAGTGAAGTGGAGAATATGCCGCTAAGGTATCGGGGAAAATGTTTGTACTGTGTTATTGAAGTAAACACCCTTTTAAAAAACTAATTGATATTAAGTGGTTAAATGGAACTAGGGCTCAAGTCACTGATACTTGACAAAGAGGACAACATAGCTGCAGGGGTTTAAGCCAAAGGCAGTGGAAAAGAGATACCCTAAATCCTACAAAGTACCCTAGATCCCTGAGGGCAGATGTGGCTGACCTAGCTCCGTGAAAGCCAAACTTGATACTGTATAAATTGTTTCCCTGCTTCTGTCCGCTTCACTTTGCATGTTTAGAATACTCAGAGTTTCTAAAATCTTTTCTTTCATGATTTCTTCCAAAAATATTTCATTAAAGAAAATATTTCATTCAGATAGAGCCTGAATTTAGATTAAAGATATTTTTTCTTCCTTTTTCTTTCTTTCTTTCTTTCTTTCTTTCTTTCTTTCTTTCTTTCTTTCTTTCTTTCTTTCTTTCTTTCTTTCTTTCTTTCCTTCTTTCTTTCCTTCTTTCTTTCCTTCTTTCTTTCTTTCTTTCTTTCTTTCTTTCTTTCTTTCTTTCTTTCTTTCTTTCTTTTTTGGTTGGTGTTTTCTTTCACAGCATGATTTACATGGAAATGTGTTTTGCATGACTACACATGTATAGTCTATGTCAAATTGCTTGCCTTCTCAGTGGAGGAAGGGAGAAAATTTGGAACTCCAAATCTGGAAAAAAAAAAAAAAAGAATGTTAAAATTGTTTTTACATGTAATTGAGAAAAATAAAATATTAAAGAAAAAAAGAAAAAAAATTCATGACAATCATATACCACGAAAAGTTGATGGGCATCCCCATTGGATTTTAATTCTTTTCTGTTCTTTTTAGAACTAGAAGAGCCCTTCAGGTCATGTTCCTTTGTATTCCCACTACTTTGAAGAGTATCTGGTATGTAGTGAGCTCTCAGTAGGTGCTTTTTGATTGATTCATCTCTTAATTCAACCTCCCTCCTTTGATAGAGGAGATAGTGAGCTTGTAAGGTGAACTAACATACATAGAGGCATAAACAGAGTTAGTGGAAGAGCGAAAATGAGAACCCAAGGATACTGACCTTTCCACACTAGGTCTCCTTGAATTTCACCTGAAAACTCTGTAAATATTTGTTTTGTCACTAGGGGTTGGTGCTCACCCAGACGATGACTCAGACCAGGAAGGTGGTTCAAGAATCCCCAGTCCCTTTTCAAGGAAATCAACCCTGAACCTTTTGCATCAGATATTCTTTCATCCTAAACTCAGAGTTCAAGGCCCATAGAACACATCAGCTGACAATCAGCATACCTTGCTTGAGTCTGGATGGTCTAGGTTGGAGGGGTTCTAGCATCCCAAAGCAGGGGTAACCTCTTAGAGGACACTCCATGTCTCCAGTTAGAGCACCCAGCCAGAGTTTAAGCATGACTACAGATTTTTCCTGGGAGGAGGGGGGTGGGGAGAGAGGTGTGCAAATTGTCTATCTCCCTTAACTTTCTGGGAAATGAGACAGTAAGACCAAACATGAAAAACAGGAAGTCTTACAGCAACAGGGTGCATTCGTCACAGCTGTGTCCTATCCGTTTGTTCACTCCTTGGTGTTACTTATTCATATGTCTGGGTTTCCTACCCCTGTAACCCATAACCAAAGCCACCCCATTATGACCTGCGTTGGGAACTACTTGGCTTCTTGTTGGATAACACTTTTCCCAGAAATCTAATCAAAGCAGCCTCCTACCTTCTATTTATCCTGAAACAGGGCACCATGACTAATTAGCCCCTGTAAATACTGGCCTCTTTTCCTTCTGACTGATTCTTCTGAATCGAAGCACTGCTGGGCAAGGTCTGAAACCCAGACATCCACTTGATTTACAGAGCCAAACAGGCAGGAGGCATTGCTTGGGGTTTTGTTAGCTTGGCTGTGGTAATAATTTTGACACCACAAGGCTTATAAGGTGCATTCCTTACAACAACCCTGTGAGGTGATTAGTGAAGTATTGTCATCCCCATGGGTTTAGAGTTAGAGGACCTGGGTTCTACTCCTCATTTTGCCACTTTCTATATGTGTGAACTTGGAGAAATCATATTGTTACCTCCTTAGGCTTCCTTTCTTTGTCTGGAAAATTAGGTGGTTGGAGCAGAGTGCAAGAATCTAAAGGGACTGTCCATCAATTGGGGAATGGCTGAACAAATGTGATAGAAGATTATTGTGACATAAGAAATAAAAAGATGACAGTTTTGGAAAATCCTGGAGAGTAGAAACTGATGCAAAGTGAAATGATTAGAACCAGGAGACCAATGTACAAAGTAACAAGACCAATATATAAAGTTATAAGACAAACATATAAAGTTACAAGACAAATGTATAAAGTAACAGAACAACTCTGAAAGCCACAAGAGCTTTGATTAAAGTAAGGACCATTTTTGCCTCCAGAGAGTCTGGAATGAAGCATTTCACCCCCTGACAGAGAGGTCATGGACTCTAAGTGGAGAAAGAGACAAACGTTTTTTGATGTGGCCACAGCAGTGATTCATTTTGCTTGATTGCTTCTTTTCTAATAAATTGTGAGCTCCTTGAGGACAGGGATTATCTTTTGCCTCTTCCTGTATCCCCTATACATAATGCAGTTCCTGGCACATAATAGGTGCTTAATAAATTTTCACTGGTTATTATAATATATGTTTTGATTTAATTGATATACTATTGATTATTTATTGATTGTTATAAGACTCTTTTCCTTCTCTAAGTTTTTAATTGGGGGATTGGGGGCTTGGGGGGAACCAAAAGTTTAAAATGCACAGAAGGAAGTACCAACAAATAGGACAGTTTTGAAAGTGTGGAATTTATTATATACTTTTTAAAAGAAGGAAACAACATGAGATGAAGACTCATGGATTCACAAGGCTTTTTGTGTTCTACTGCATGTATAGAAATGCTCTCTTTCATAGTGTTTAAGTTCAGAATTTTAAAAAAATCAAATTTTAATGATGGAGTTGGAATAAATGACTTTGAGGATCCTTTACTTATATGTAAAAGGTGCTTTTTACTGCACCTGTCTCATAGGTTGCTGGGGATGTCAAATGAGATAATCTACGCAGAGAGCTTCATAATTGTCAGGTATTGTTGCTGTTGCCGCTGCCGCTATTTCGATGTACCCTAAGTTCTCTTTACTTTAGGCTTAATGCCTGCTGATCCTTCAGCACTATCTTTGCACTCAGTTTCATTCACCAGTCAGCTAACTAGCATTTACTACACACCTGTCACACGCCAGGCACTGTGGTAAGTGCTAGGGATACAAGGAAAGGCAAAACCAAGTCCCTGTCTTCAAGGAACATACAGCTTAAACAACAAGGTACAGACAAAATACATATGAGATAAATGAGAGGAAGTAATCTCAGAGGGAAGGCTCCTATAGAGTATTATCCTCTGGCCATTCCTTGACTTAGAAATCTCCTTCTAAAACTTGTCATCTAATTATTCTCTCTCTCTCTCTCTCTCTCTCTCTCTCTCTCTCTCTCTCTCTCTCTCTCTCTCTCTCTCTCTCCTCTTTCTTCTATCCCCATTCTCCACCTAGTTCCTATTTTATGACTCAACCAGTAATTAATCTTCTCTTTCCCCTCCCCTGGGCAAAGCCCCAGACACACCAGCTCGAATTATGGCTCTTTTGGATAGTTTTAACAGTCATATGATTTTAACAGTCCTTCATAGAATTTAGAGCTGGAAGGGACATTATGGATGATCTCGTCCAACTCTGTCATTTTCCATATAAGGCAATATACTTCATGTAAGCCACATAGTAAGGAGTAGAGTGAGCCAGGGTTCAAACCCAGGTCCTCAGGATTATAAATCCATAGCTTTCCCCACTATACTACATCACCTCAAAATTTTGGAGAGGAAAAGTCATAACTAGGTTACATTTTAAACATCAATCAGTCAGGCTTAGGAATATTCAAAGGGATGGGTTTATTTGCTAAAATAAATCCAATATTTCTCAAGTGGAATAATGATGATCGTGGTAGTGATGGTGATGATGATGACGGTGGTGATGGTGATAATGGTGATGGTAATGGTGATGATGGTGATGATTATGATGGTGGTGATGATGATATTGATAATGATAAATTGGATTTTTGTAGCACTTTAAGGTTTGCAGAGCACTTAACAAATATTATCTCATTTGATCCTCACATCAACCCAGGGATGTAGATGCTACTATTATTCCCATTTTGCATGTACTAGGGAGCATAGTACATAGAGCACCAGGCCTGGAGTCAGGAAGACCCGAGTTCAAATTCTGCCCCATATATGTACCAGCTCTGTGACCCTGGGCAAGTCACTTAACCTCTATTTGTCTTATTTTCCTCATCTGTAAAATAAGGATAATAATAGCACCTACTTTTTATTAAGGGTAATAATAGTTACCTAACAGGGTTGTTGTGAGGATCGAATGTAATGTTTATAAACTGCTTATCACAGTGCCTGGCACAGAGTAGGTCTATAAAAATGATAGTTTTTAAGTGACTTGCCCAGGGTCCCATACCTAGGCAGTGGAAGATTGGTATGTTCATCATTTTCTATTTTTCTTTTTATGTCTCTATTAGAAAGGAAAAAAAAATGGTGACTACTCTATGAGGGAGGCAATTAAACAAAATGGCTGACTTCTTTTTGTATTTCTGGAAAGTCTTTTACTCAAAGCATTTGGACAATGATGAATTCTTTGTTCTCTTATTTTGCATTCACAGAAGTCCATTCACTGCATCTAAATGTGCTAGAAAGTGATTCCCATTGACTGACTCTTCAAAATGTGTATTCTGTGCTATACGGGAAGCTGCAAAGTTGTTACTTTCTACCATGTTTTCCTACTTTTCATTGTGCATCAATCTTTAATGACTGGTCTTGAGCCCCTTCTTCTGCTCCCTACAGCTGAAAGTGAAAGAATGCCTCTCAGCATCTCAGGCCCAAACCTGTCATCTTTGCTTTATAATAATACACACAGAGGACCTGAGTTCAAATGCGGCCTCAGATACATAACATTTACTAGCTATGTGACCCTGGGCAGGTC